GGGGCTGGGGATTTAGCTCAGCGGCAAAAGCGCCTGCCTGGCAAGCGCAAGGTCGTGAGTTCAGTTCCTGGTACCAGAGAAAAACAAAAAAAAAAAAAATAAAATAAAAAAATTAAAAATAAAAAAAAAAAGAACTCAGTTATCAGATCCAAACCCGATCTCTCCCATCTGTGGAATGGGGGTAGTCATACGGAAAGATAGCTCGTGGTGCACCCAGTGTCTGTCCATACCTGGGAGACTTAATTTTACACTATTTGAAGAAGAAACAATGTCTTTAAAAGCCCTTCAGAGGCTCAGCAATATTGTCATTGTCACAGTGTTCTCCTGCATCATTCCTAAGCCCTCCTGTCGGTGGTTTAAACGTATTTCTTCTCTTTCTCCTGCTCAGCTTTGCTTAAAGCTGCTGGTGTGAACCCCCAGCAGGATCTGTGTCTGGTTGCCTGGTAACAACAATTAGCAAAACAATACCTACCTATGAGAAGTTGTCCTGAATCAACTCTGAAGAAGGGCAGGATTTATTAGGATCCATCAGTAGCCTCAGGAGTCACCATGTCAACCAGAGAGGTGAGGCTAGCAAATGGAAATGCTGGCACAGCGCAGTAAGAGCAGGGCTTTGCTTTCTGAATACTGCGAGCTTGGAGTGTTCACACTGATTCTGTAAGGTGGCGGAGTAGGCTTTCAGTGGGTGCCATCCAGGTTCTTTCTCTTGCGGTGCTGTCAAGGCCATGGGTCTGAGGGGTGGCGAATGGGCACGATGTTAGTACTTTAGCCCGTGCCTCCCTGCTTGGGGTGTGCATACCCCAACAGCCACCGTGGACAGCCCTTTGGCTTAGGGGTGGGCCCGTTATGGTTCAGGCTCCCCTCAGGACAGACCCACACACAGGGAAGTGGCTTGGCCTGCGTGCGTGAGGAACTTTGGGGTCCTGGTACGAGTGGTTCAGTCTGAGAGGAAGCTCAGGCCCTTGGCGGTCCTTGGCCTTGCTTCTTTTGCAGGACCAGCATTGGAGAGGGCTGATTGGACCCTCTAAAGCTCTGCCACACAGGGGCCTCTCTTGCTAGAGTGAGGGGTGGGGCTAGCTGGGAAGAGGCCATCAGATACCATCCCAGTTGCCCCCTTTCACAGGAGCCAAGCCAGACCGCAGACGCCCAAGTTCTCAGGCTCTTGAGATGGATCCCAGTAGGGACCTTTATGAATGTCCCGCTGAAACATTCCACTGGAGTCATTCACAAGCCAGTCCTTGCTTGTGGAGAATTCACGCCTAACCCCGACACCGTAGGAGTCCACCAAGATCCTGGTAGTTGCTGCCTTTCCCAAGACCACCTCAGGATGAAAGCCAGAGAGCATTTTATGAAAACCCAGCTGTATAATGTATACTGTTCTGGACTAATTCTTGGCTATCCAGTCACCTCTCAACAGCGGATATTAGGGGCTGGGGATTTAGCTTAGCAGCACAGCACCTGCCTGGCAAGTGCAAGGTCGTGAGTTCAATTCCTGGTACTGGAAAAAAACAAAACAAAACAAACAAAACAACTACGGATACTCAGCGGAAGCTCACTTCTATTGGATGTGAGCTAGGGTCCCAAGGAACACCCAAGAGAGATGGGCAGGAGTGTCAGACCACAGCTCTGCCACCCGTGTATCTATGGATATCCTGTCATCAGCCACCTACATTCTCTGAGCTTTATTTTCTTTATCTAAAAACAAAAACAGACAGACAAAGCTAAAAATGCCCAGTAGTTGTTGATGAAAAGATTAAGTGTGATAACCTGAAAAGCACCTGCCATAATACTTAGCCCAGAGTGGTGTCAAAGAGATGGTGTTCTTTGCTGTTAGGCATCAAGGATTAAATTTGTTAAAATGAATGGACATGGCACACAGCTGTAATCCCAGTGAGTTGGGAGGCTGAGGCAGGAGGATTGGGTTTGAGGCCAGCCTGGGCAACTTAGCAAGACTGTGTCTAAACAAAGAAAAAATGCTTTTTAAAAAAACAGTACAAATTCAAAATCCAGAGTGTATTTTACATTTTCATTAATCTCAACAGATACAATACCTTTTTATCAGAAATACTTAACCTGTACTTAGATTTCTTAAATCTTAGTCAAAGTAATGCACCTGTAATCATAGCTTCTTGGAGGCTGAGGCAGGAGGATCAAAAGGACCAGTCTGGGCAACTTCATGAGATTATGTCTCAAAATAAAAAGGGCTGGGGATGTAGTTCAATAGTAGAACACTTTCTTAGCATGCACGAGGCCTTGGGTTCAATCCTGAGTGCCACACATGTGCACACATACAAAGAATTTACAGTTGACAAAGTAGATTCACAGAACCAAGTTGTTCCAAATGTACTTCAATATCTAGCCGGGGATATAGTTCAGCGGTGCCAGCACCTGCCTGGCAAGTGTAAGGTCCTGAGTTCGATTCCTGGTACCAAAAAAACAAAAACAACAACAATAAAAAATACCTAGTAACTGAGTTAAGTATCAGTTCTCAAATTGAAATGAATAACATTAAATAAAATACAAAGTTCAGTTTCTCTGTGACGGTGATCGCATTTAACGCATCCAGTGGTTGCATGGAGCTTGTGGCCATTTGCTAGGCCGCCCCATGCGAGGTGGCCAGGAGCCTCGATCGGCTGAACAGAGGTGAGGCCTCCCAGGCAGGTGAAACAGCCCAAGAGCCAGCATGTGCCTGAGATGACAGGGAAGCCGGATTGCTCAGAACCAACTACAAAGTCATGCCTTGGTACCTGTTAATTTGTTCTGGAACCAGTAAAGAGTGCTAAAACTGAGTCCTCAACAAACTTTCCCCGTAGGAAATAGTGTAATTAAAAATAATTCATGAAACTGGGCTGATACCAGCCTTTTCCCGGGCTAATACAAGCCTTCTGGGCTCAGCGGTGTTGCTGTCAACTTTTTTGTGACCCACGGTCCGCCCTTAAAACGCGCAGAAGTACCAGACAGTAACGGTGAGTGAGTGAGGGGTTTTGGCACTGTGTGGGAGTCACAGGACTGAAGCCGTTTTTTGCCTCATCAAAATGCAATAGGGTTTGACAGGCTCCAAAGCTGACAAGGGCTGAGGTGAGGCTGAAGGGGCAGTGTGGAGTCAGACTGGGGAGAATCTGCGCACCAGCTTAGGGCGTTGAAATTGTACTCATCTTGAAATATTTTTGGAGCAGGGATTGACCCACAGTGGACTGCTTTAGGGGGATTCTTCCTGTATCGGTGTCTGTGAGGACCGAGAGAGGAGACACCAGCCAGAGAAAACAGGACACGGGTGGCGATGGTGGTACAGGTATGCAGAGATAGCGCCTGGCTGGCGTGAGTGCGAATGCAGAGATTTCCCAAAGCCAGACCCCGGAGGACTCAAAAACCAGCCAGGCTCCGTTAGAGCGAGGGTCTGCGGCAGAGGTGGCCTCGAGGGCTGTGTGTCTGGGAGGACGTTGACAGTAAGAGTTTAAATCAGCTGCCCACAGGCTCTGACATCTGATTTTTTTCTTTAAACAAAGGCATAATTTATAACTCCAGCTCCACCCTCTGAATCACAAGGGTAACCAGGGACTTTGTCCCAGTGTGCGATAATGAAAGATACTCCTTAGTCTGAGGGAACTCTTTCAGAAACTGAGTCTGGGCGGGTGCCAAGTGAAGAGGCCTTTTTCTCAGAAGTTAAGGGGAGGGCTAGGTGGAAAGTCCTCTGCTGCCTGGCCGGCTTTTCCTTGCCCACAACTGTTTTCCTGCAAAAGCTTCCTTTCTCAGGTGACTAGGAGGAAGGCGCTGCTCCTTCCCCCTTGGCTCCTCTCCTCCCTGCCCCAGGGCTCCGGATCCCTTCTCCTTGGGCAGCAAGCGTCCCAGGGCTTCCGTGTGCACAGCTGGGGACTGACCCTGGACTGTGCTCTCTGGTAAGCCCAGTGCTGCGCTGTGGGAGGAGGGCAGTGTGTGTGCACCGGGCGAGGTGTTGGGAGTTACAGGGGGCGGGTTACAGGGAGTCCCCGGTGCGTGCACCAGCTGGCCAGTACTGAGCAAAACACTGCCGTGTTGGTGGCCACACAGCTGAGCAACACCAAAATCTCTCAACCAACCAGGGGGTGGGCGTGAATTTTAAAAGGACAAAGATAAGGGGAATCTGGGGCTGGATAACAACATGGGGGCAGACAAGGGGGCCTGGGATGGTAACAGGATAATGTGATGAGGAGGGTTGTTGTCTGTTGAGCTCTTGCTCAGCACTGTCCAAGAGCCTCTCAGCAATTGTTAACCTTCTTCCCATTTCCCAGATAGGAAACTAGAGTTTCGATCAGTAAAAGGAAGGTGTCCAAGGTCACCCTCAAGGGACGGTGTTGATTCAAGCCCATAAATGCCTGACTCATGGCAGCTTCTTTAGGAGCATGGATCTGCAACCCACCCAGAGTCCTGCTGGGACCACTTAGTGAAGCCAACCTGTAAACACTGGGTTTTATAGTTGCTTTGATGAGTAGGCCAAAGTCATGCTAGGAGCGTCATGTACGCCCTATTGCTAATCAGAATGAGCAAGAACATTTTTAAAAAATTTGAAGTGCAGGGATCAAACCCCAGGATTTAACTCTGGGCCTCACACACACTCAACTAGTGAGCGTGTCACTCTCAGCTCCACTAGATGCGTTGGAACAGGTAGTCCTCCATG